CCAAAAACCATCCTTAAAATGATGAAAGAAGGAAAGAGGAAAAGGCTTAGAAGTGTTCAAACAGCAAAAAAATTATATATGTAAAAACAAATAATTTATTTATATATTACTTATTACTTGCACGATTATATTTAAAAAACATATTCGTTATATGAAATGCACACGGATTCGAATCAAGTAAATATTTTCATTTTTTGCACGCGCGATAACTGAAGAAAAATAAAATAAATTACTGTGCGTGTGTGTAATTAACGCAACTTATATAAATCTGTGATAATAATTAATCTTTTTAACATTCGGACTGAAATATAGGAACAGTCATCATGAGAGCTGCTCATAATACAATGTAAATACAGCACAAGAGAATAGACAGACATAGAAAATAAACTATACTATACTAAAATACGATAAATATTGACTTAAAATATCTTTTTCAAAAGATTTGAGAAAAAATTATATTCATTTATTTATAATTATAATAGATATTATAATAGATATCTATATATAATCATCTGATAATTTTATAATATAGAATTTAATAAACAAATTGTCGCCTATTATTCTCAATAAGATATATTACCTTCGAAAATAGAAGTTATTTCTTAAAACGTGCACTAAAGAGCTGTTTTATAATACCTATATAAAAATCATTGTTTCGAAAATTATATTACTATTTACAGATATTTGTAAATTTTATATATATTTAATACAAAAGATATTTACATATATTTAACAAATATAAGTTAATAAATATATACATATCTTCTCTTAAAGAGAGAGACTTTAGTATTATGATCCTTATTCACAAAAAAAGATATGTATTTAATTCGCAACAATTTAACATTTTTATAATTATATTAATATTCTTTCTTTGCACATTTTTAATAAATTAGTAATGCAAGCAACGCGAACCTTTTAGTGGTTTTTATTTTACTTTTCTTGAACAAAGGAATTGGCAATAATTCTATATTTACATTATAAGAACAATAGCATTTAAATAAACATAAATGTATTCAAAACATAGATTCTGCAGAACGAGTACAATTTGTAGGATTGGAAGAACTACGCGCTAATTTTTTGCGAGACAGCCTTTTAAGTAGAGTTATTATCTCTATAAAGTCAAGACGTTTCTTCGCATGGTATGACCAGCAATACATTAGAACATCCTATAAAAAATTTATAAGATTTCTATAATTTATAAATAATGTATAGACTAGTATATAAAATTTTTAAACAAATCATTATATGTATAGAACGTATAAATATGCACAAATATGGTCTAATATGTACCTTTACATCACGAGAAGCCTGCAAATATGATAAAGATTGTTTCATTCCTTTTCCGACTTGCCAAATAATAGCTTCGGTAGGTTGACCTCTAAAAGGCCATTCACCACACAATAATTCATACCAAATAGTCCTATCAAAAAGTATATTTTAAAAATCTCTTATTATTTGTTATATTTTATGTACACACACACACACACACACACACACGCGCGCGCGCGCGCGCACATATATATTGGATGTTTGAATAAGTTTCCACCTTTTTTTTTATGAAATTTTGCTTTTAAACGTTTGCTAACATTAAATATTGATTGATCAACATTTAATGTTTCTAACAATTCTTTCAGCGTATGACATGGATTTTCATCAAGTAATGTTTCCAGTTGTGT